ACTACACAGTGCAGGAACACTTGCCTATCTCCTTTTTGGTTTGGAACTCAGCACAGAATCAGCATGCAGTATTTTTCAGTTCCACAACATATGGCATGAGGGCACACACACTGAATATTACCTCACGAAAAGACCATATCTCTTACTGTGGGGTTTCTTAACCTTTTTAGCAGGGGCAGGAAGCATATCCTATGAAAAGGAAGAATCTGTTTGTAACAGAACTCTATGGTAGTGGATAACATTAATGTAAATAAAACCACAGAAGGTGTATAAAAGAACAGTTCCCTACAGAAGCTAAATGGTGTGTTGGAAAAGCAACAGCATATATTGACATGTACTGATTGTATTACTGACTGTAATTATGTCTTTTGAGCACCACTGTGGTTGACACGGGGTTTCAGGACATGCGGTATCCTCCAAAACTATAGCGTAGGCCAGAGGGAAAGGAGTCTTAAGAAATGGGCGAGGACCCCACTGGCTTGAATGGGCAAGTCTGTCCAAAAGGTGAAGGGAACCCCTCGGGATAGCATCCACAGAAGGTGTATAAAAGAACAGTTCCCTACAGAAGCTAAATGGTGTGTTGGAAAAGCAACAGCATATATTGACATGTACTGATTGTATTACTGACTGTAATTATGTCTTTTGAGCTATAGATGGCGGTTTAGTGCAATGCTAGTCTTTGTTTGCATGCTTATCTATGATATACACAGGAAGTTCTTTCTGTATGCTTTATAATGCTGTATTCTGATGTGTTCTGCTAAGCAAGTAAAACCTAATTCAGCATTTCTCAAGATCTCAGTGCTTCATCTAAACACATAACCAACAAAAAACAGGGTATTATTTAGAGATTCAAATATGTGAATGATATTAAATATCAAATATTGAATGATATTAATGCAGGCTCATGTAGTCAATTTAAGTGAGCAGCTGTAAGGAGGAACGCCCAGTTTTTAGGAGTAATCGAGCGCAGGAGAAAATGAGAAAAAGCTAATTCCAGAGACTGTATCTGAAATACTAATACAAAAATCAGAATTCAGTACAAGGCGGCTAATTAGTTACATTAGCAGTGGGTTGTTGGAACTGCTCAGTAATCCAGTTTTGGTTCACTTTTATAAAGGTCAGCACATCCAGTGGCGGACCTATGAAACAATGGGCCCTGGTGCAAGATTTTGTTTCCCCCCCGGCTCTTACAATGCCCTCCCTGCCCACCTATAGCCATTACCATTCTGCATTTCTGTATAGAGGACTACAACTCCCAGCAATACTTTATACAGAAATGCAGAATGGTAATGGCTACAGAGGACTACAACTCCCAGCAATAATCTCTAAAGAATTGCAGAATGGTAACGGCTATAGGGGACTACAACTTCCAGCAATACTCTCTACAGAAATGCAGAATGGTAACGGCTATAGGGGACTACAACTTTCAGCAATACTCTCTACAGAAATGCAGAATAATTCCATCAGTTATAGAGGACTACAAAAAACATGTCACAGAACTTAGGCACATACAGAGGATAAAAGCATCACCTCATCTCCTCCTCCTCGCGGCAGGAACATCATCCCAGATAGCAAGGATAACTTGCTACAAACTTGTGGTGGGGTGAAATTGTAATTTTGTTAACTTGCTGCACATATTCCTGGCAAGTTGTAGACTTGCAGAACACTCGCAGCACAAGTTCTAGTTGACACTTTTCGAATTTGTAGCAAATTTGCTTGGCAAGTCTATAGCAAGAGTCCTGCAGGTCTTAGCAAGAGCTCTGCAAGAGCTCTGGTCTGGAGACTTGCAATGCAGACTTGATGTAATTGTGCAACAAAATTGTGAAGCTTGGCAAGTCTGCAATAGTTTAGCAAGTCATTTTCAAACTTGCAGCACAATTTCTTGCTATCTGGGATGTAGCTGGGAGAGGTGGCGGGCTGTGTGATCAGGAAGCTGCTCGCTGGGTCCTCCTGGCCGAGGCCCCATCGCTGCCTCACCGTTTGCTTGCAGGCTGCTTTGCCTCACACTGGCCTCACTGCCGTGAGGCCGTTTGAACGTGCGGCCGTTTGGACGTGCGTCCAGCCGGCCCCCCCACCACCTCTTGCCCTACCTTGCTACTGGTCTGGTGCCTGGGTCTACTGGGCCCCCCCAGGCTCAGGCCCCGGTGCAGCCGCACCGGCTGCAACGGCGGTAGATCCGCCCCTGAGCATATCCAAGCTGTTTGTGGACAGCCGGATCCACTTCTCAATCACAACACTGCCTGCTGCACTGAAAACCCTCTCAGACAACACTGGGGGCTGGGCAAGACAGCAGTTCATTAGTATATTGTAGTAGTCCTAGCCACTGGTCAAGTCAGAACATTCAATACTCAAAGTAGTTTTTGCTCTCTGTCAGGTTGCTCCAGACATTGTCATTGATTGCTGAAACTCATCTGTGCACCCTGCAATGCGCCATATCAGGTGGACCACAACTGCTTAATGGGGGCATACTAAAAGGAATGACAGAATGGAAGGACCATTAGACATGTGCGATTTGTTTCGTTCCAAAACTAAATTCGGATGAAATTTCGGAAATTCGGAGATTCGGATGCATCCGAATTCCGAATTACAGCTAAAACAAATGCAAACGAATCATAATTCCCGATTTCCCAAAATTCGTTAGCGGTAGTCCGGTCGATTTTTCGTTTATTGGACGAAATTTCGTTGCAGCAAAAAGACATTAGAAAAAAAAAAATATATATTTTGCAGAACATGAAAAAAAAAAGCGTGAGGTTCCCCCCCAAATTCATACCATACCATATCGCCCCCTCCCTGCGCCTTACCAGGCCACATGCCCTCGGCATTGGGAGGGTGTCCCCATGCCGATGGGGACAAGGGCCTCTTCCCCACAACCCTTACCCAGTGGTTGGGTTGTGGGGGTCTGTGTTTCGGGTCTGTGAGCCGAGGTGTCATATGAAAAGCATTATGACACCTCGGCTCACAGACCCGAATAGCATTCGGAAACTCACAAATAGCATTCGGAAGAATAAAAGAATTAAAAAAAACTATTTTTTTTTTAAAGTCCCCACCCCTACATACACGCATGTAAACATGCGTCAGGTGCGCATACCTGCGAAAACGACGATTGCACCCATTACGCCGCACATGTTACATATCGCCGCGAACGTCGGAATGAGAGCAATAGTTCTAGGGCCATCAATCACTGATAACACTAAACTGATGAGCGGTAAAAGCTTTTAAAGCGTCGCCTATGGCCAATTTTGGGTATGCTAGTTTTTTGCGATTTTGCGAGTGCGCGCAATTTTTACGCTTGACATGTTTGGTGTCTATTTACCCGACGTGACCCCATCTTTTATATTTTACCAAAAAAGTGGGTAATATTAGTTGTTTTATAGCATAATGTAAAAAAAGTACGTTTTTTTCTCAAAATTTTCAGTAATTTCTCCTGAATATAGTAAAAAATAAAACCCGCAGTGGTGATTAAATACCACCAAAAGAAAGCTCTATCTGTCCCCAAAAAATGGTATAAAATTCATTTCAGTACAGCGTTGCGTGACGGAATAAATGTCAGTCAAAGTACCGCAGCGCTGAACACTGAAAAATGGCCTGGCCAGGTAGGGGATCTAAACACCTGGTCTTCAAGCAGTTAAGGACAAAAGCCCCACCAGCAGATGGGGTGGGAATCATAAATATTTAAATATATACAGGAAATGTATTACTGACGCCAAGTAAGAAGATGGGGCTAGGGCATAGGCATGCACACTGGGTGTGCCTGGGCACACCCTAATCACCCCAAGCGCAACACCAAGAACTATGCTCTGATCGGAAGCCTGCTCCTCCCAAAAGGCTGCCCGGGATGTACGGGGATCGAACACATCTCAAGTCTGAAGCTGACAGCTTTTTCTCCATTCAGATCGGCTTCTATCAGGTTACACAGCGGGGAAAGTTTCCCCGCTGTGTAACCTGTCATGGACGGACTGCTGCCTGTAGTTAGGTTGGACAGCAGCGGGCTTCCCCACTGCTTGTGTAACCTAACTATTGAGGCAAGAGCTGTCACAGTCTCTACTCTTTGTTAGACGCGTAAGCTCTGTGGATGGCTTGGACCAATGGCAAAGCGCCATTGGTCCAAGCTGTCCAATCCAAAAAAGTTTTTAAAAAAACCTACTGAGGCCGTCGAGCTAGAAGCCTCAGCAGTGACGAGCAAGTGAGGGACAGGGAGGCTCCTCCCTGTCTCCTCCCTTAAGGGTCTGGGGTCTAATTCCTTCCCCTGTCTCTTATGTTCAATGGCTAGTTTGATGTCTCTCTTATGTTTTTGATATCTCCTTTTAAAAGGATTAATAGTTTTTCCGACATAAACTAGTGTGCATGGGTACTTCAAATGTGAATACAGTCTGTGTACAGTCTGTGTACAATTGTAGTAACCATTGAATTGATGACAAACTTCTTCACTGTATGTGGATGAAAGAAAGATTCCCCAGTGATGAATGCGTTACACACATTACAGTTGTAACATTTGAAACACCCCTTCTTAGATGAAAATACATGTTTAGGGGTGGCATATTTGTCATATGGGTCAGCTCTCACCAGGAATTTTTAGAATAAACCACTCTAGGTGGTTGTCTGATCCTGGAATGTAATGACCTGTCAGCAATGAGGATGTCGGAATGTAGAGTGTGACTACTGTGCCGAGAATGTGGGTTGAATCATGGCCTTAAATAATGTAAATGGGAACACAAAGTTCCAATAACTCTCATTTCCAGCCCAGACTTTCATACTTATTATAAAGAGTGGTCTTCTTGCATTTAAAATTCATACAACATACTATACTAATGAATTGTCATAATAAAATAGCAGTGCTGGGATGAAGGGCAGTGGCAGAAGCACTCATGATTCAAGACTACAAAGCATTTATTAGTGATTAGAAAATAGTAGGAAAGGTAATACTAATATGAGAGGGGGCAATAAGAAAAATGTAGTAGGTTACAATTTACCTTTTATAAACTATTTTTTACCTTTTGCAGAGTGAGAAGGACGATGCCCAGTTACAGATGGTGGGAGGAGAAGTGGAGCTTCCAGAAGATCTTGCTAAGATGGTGCAGGAGGATGAAGAGGAAGAAGAGGAACAGGGCTCTTTACTTTCCATGCTACCTGACTTTGATATTGATGTGCTGAAGACACGGGCTCAAGGAACCTTCACTGAAGTAAAAAGAGCAGCAGAAGAGAAATGTGAGATAATGTGACAAGTTATGAGCTTGGGTAATTAGGGCGAAATAAATAAAGCTGTGAATACTCTTTAACAAGATTAATTTATGTGTGATATCAGTATGATTTATTAAGCTTCTATTCAGACTGAACTATTACTGTTACTATTTAGGCCAAGAGTATTGCTATTTAATGTACCATATGTAATTATCATTTCTATGGCTGTGGCGTCTAACATAATAGATTTCTTTAGTTTCAGCGCTTAATATATAATAAAAATGAGTCTTTACTAAACTACCATCTCTACCTAATGTATCGCCATGTACTGTAGTATGCCAATACTACCACATGAGGGAGTGTTTGATCTATAGAGCTGTGGTTCTTAACCCTAGGGAGACCACAGAAATTATTTCAAAATCTTCTATGCCCCACGAATAAATAAAAAAGTTGTAATACAATATAATATATACAATAAAAGTATGGGAATGCAAAATATGTATTAAAAAACAGAGTAATCAGTAGAAAATATGAGTTACTGTAATTTAAATTAGGGATGCCCTGATCGGTGCTGATACCGAGTATTTGGGCGAGTACTCCGATACTTATCCCTGATACCGGAACTTCCGGTCAGAGGGAGATTTCCTCTGACTGGCAGTGCCGTGAGGGAACATAGAACCGGATTCCTGGCCAATCAGGAAGCCAGGCAGCGGGTAATGATCTGAAGCCAGGTTCCCGGCCAATCAACTTGGAGCGCCGGGCGATGGATAATGTCTTTGTAATATCTCCTTCGCACACTGTACCGATGTACCCCCGAATCCAATGGGTTCTGCAACAACTGGTGGAGGGCACCACAGTATACAATCTAGAAGATATCTTGGCGGAACACCATTCTGCTTCGGAATGTCATCTTTATTCGTATTCATTTGCATGACATTTTAATGCAATGTTTCGGAGCCTCACAGGACCTCTTTGTCAGGCACTTTGCCTGACAAAGATCAAGAGCCTTACAGATCCTGTAAGGCTCCGAAACGTTGCATTCACATGCCATGCTAAAGGAATCAGGGGCATAACTGTTGCAAGGCAAACAAGGCTATTACCTTGGGCGGCGAAAAAACCACCCCCAATACAGTGAGGCGAGCCGGGCTGCACAAAATTCGGCAGCCTCGGCTGCCTCATAAAGTCACAGAGGAGGAGGAGGAGGCAGCGAGGAGGAGGGGGCAGCGAGGGGGCAGAAGGGGGGAGAGAGTGAGGAGGCGGTTTGGGGCGGCTTGGGAGGAGGAGGAGGCGGGGGCGGAGGAAGCCGGGTTCCCTAAGCGTCGGTTGGGCGGCAGAGAAGGCCGTGTCCGCCCAAGTGTTGGTCCTTACTGTAATCCATGGTAGTTTCCCTTCTCTTTGCTGCTCTTCCTTTTAAATCTGTATCTCTTCCCATGCTGGGGGAGAACTTTGCAGCTGAGTGCCTCTTCCTGTAGTGCTGGCTCAGGTTGTGAACCTTCACACGGACACCATGTATCCATTTCAGAGACAAGGCAGTCTGCTGCAAAACAGAAGTTCTGCCCACCATGAGAAGAGATAAGGATTTAAAAGGAAGAGCAGCAAAGAAAAGGGAAACTACCATGGATTACAGTAAGGCGCACATTACAGTATTGTTTTATGTTAAAAAATCTGAGGGTTTAATGTCACTTTAAGTCTGTTATTTTTATCAGCTTTATTTTTTATCATTTTTCCTCTGTCTTTTTTCTCTCTATCTCTCCATCTTTCTCCTCTCAAACTCTCTCTTTCTCTTATTCTCTCTTTCCTTCTCAGGCTGGCATGAGTGGCTCAAGGTTCAGAAAGAGTCACACCACTATATGCTCACTGATGACCTCTGTGCCATCTCCTCAATAAATAATTGATCTGAGCAGGGGAACAGGCAGAATTTATTAGACCCTAAATGTTTTCCCCTACCACTGCGCTCTGTCTGACAAGTGTGTTGTACATTCCTTAAAATTACTGAGTTAACTCTGTAGTACACTTGCTCAATGGGGTTGATCTACTTTTAGATTGTAAGCCCTCACGGGCAGGGCCCTCCTTACCATCTTGTCTTGAATTGTATTCTGACTGTAATGTCTTCCTTATACAGGCATTCCTCACTTAACGACCGAGTTCCGTTCCTACGACTAGGTCGTTAAACGGATTGGTCGTTAAGTGAGGAACTCTATACAGTACTGTACTGCATTAGTACAGTACTGTATAGCGTTGCCGATGTACAGTACCGAACAGTGTACTGTACATCGGGCAAATAAAATACTAACCGGGACCCGCAGTGAAGATCGGAGGACACCACTTCCGCCGGCGACACGGCGCACTGACGTTGGCGCGCAAGGTCGGAGGTCGATCGGCGGTCCGTCGTAAGTGCGAGTGGTCGCAAAACAGGTAAGTCGGTAAGCGAGGAACATCTGTATTGTAAAGCGCTGTGCAAACTGTTGGCGCTCTATAAATCCTGTATAATAATAATAATACTTAAGGCAAATAGGCTGTTCACTTTGCAAAAAATCACTTTGCAAAGAATACCAAATCACAAGCAAGGAAAATAAAAAAAGTTTGCTTGTACATAATTAGATGCTGGAGGTCAGCAGAGCTTCACCTCATTCATTAAGCTAAGTAAAAGTTCCCTTGCAAAGTGAACAGTCTTTAGTAAATCAACCTCTATATCGTATCTTCTTTCTCCTCATTGTTCAATGCAAAGATAAAAAATTTTGTGATTTTGCATTCTCCATTTGGGGAGAGGAGCATAGGGCTGAGTGTATGTAAATGGCGGGAGCAGAAGGCACTTGACTCATGACTTTTGAAACTCAGCTATTATTGTCTGCACCAGGGCAGTAAATTAACAGAAGAGCAAGTGTGTGCCCCGTGGGCCTGGAAATCACTGCTCTAGAACACTAACAGGGTTATTCACAAAAGGGTGAAGAGTTTGGAGAAGGCAGAAGAAGTGAACAATATAGGCCAAAATAGCTGATTTTCAAACATTCCCAAAGTTTTTCACCCTTTTGTGAATAGCCCTGTTAGTTATAGTGACTGCATGCAGGTCATATGTGCCAGGTGTCTATGACACTGGACATTTAATTAAAATATGTTGTCTGTCAGCCTTTGCATATTAAGCACATTTATCAATGTGTTTGTTTTATAAATCTTGTCACTATTTATGTTCGTTTTCAAACTTTTACCATTTTTATTCCAAATGAAAACCAATGAAAAAAAATGTATGTCTCCATATCTACTTAAAATTAAATAACTACCTATCCCAAAAAGATGTACACAGGAACTCCAGAGAATCAGCACTCATTTATTAGCACATATGCTGCTAAAACAAAGGTCTCCCCGGTTATGCGTTTCGGCTACTCCAGGTTTTAGTCATAGCAAACAGTGACCTTTCATCCATTCTCTTATATACTCCCCCAAAACCAAGAATAATAGGGCACTGGAAAAAATGGGCCAGATCATAAACATCAGACAATCAACAGTCTAAAATAGGTGCAAAATATTGACAACAGTATCAATTCAAACCTATATACAGGTAATGTACAAAATAGAAATACAAACATCCATAAAACAGAATATTCCAGGGCAGTGCTTCTCAACCTGTGTAGCCTCAGGACCCACATTTGTGCTTGGTCTTTAAGTCGGGAACCCAAGTTGCACTGCAATGGAACGCACGGCATTAGGGTACTGCGCGTACCAGTGCAGTCCTACGAACTGTGGGTGGGAGGTGCGTTTGGGGTACAGTTCAAATGAATGGCAATGCAACACACCTCCCATACCAGAATGCACAGTAGGTGCGATTGCGTGGTACCGTGCAGTAATCACACGGTACTATGTAATTAACGCACTGTTCTGGTGGGAACGGGCCCTCAAAAACACTGGCATACATACACAACCACAGACACAGTCTCACACACACACACACTCCAAAAAAGTTTTATTTCTTTTTAAGGTCCACTCAGTCTCCTTAATTTATGAGAACTGGAGTGGACCCTCAGCCTGGGATCCAGTGAGGGCTGCTATGCTGTGACAGAGCTCCATCCATATGTGCATTGCTTGTACAGCTCCCTTGCACGCCCTTTAGAGGTGTCGGGAGCCAGAATGAGATGTCACTCCAGTCCAGGCACCTCTATAGGACTGGTGAGGGAGCTGTAAGCAATGCACGTTTGGATGGAGCTCCCTCGTGGCTATAGACCCATCCCATCTCAAGCTGACACTCGGCAACATGCAGCATATTTTTAAAGGTTGCTTTGTGTGAGAACAGACAATGTTGTGCTAGGGGGAGGCAGAGGAGCCTCTCAACTAGAAAAGTGGAAGGCTTGCGGTGACCCACTGAACATGGGGTCGCGACCCACTTTTGGGTCACGACCCACCAGTTGAGAACCAAGGCTCTAGGGCAAACCAACATACATTGCAGAGACAATGAGAGAAAGTATCAAAAAGATCCATACCACAAACTACCATAGCCCATGTAAAACCATACACTAATATCCTAATGACTGGTAGATCGCGATCGACCTTGTGGGCACCCCTGTCCTAATATATATAAAATACATATATATATATATATATACACACACACACACATTAATGTATGTATAAAGGCATTTTTTTCATTTTGGATAGAGTAGGGGAGAGTTAAAACCGCTGTCAGTTTTTTAAATTTTTTTGCCATCTGTGTTTCATTAGAGAGATTATGCTTCATGTCCTGTCCTGTAGACTCAACAGGAAGTGAGAGGATATTGTTCCAATGGGAGGAAAATCCTCTCTTAGACAGTTGTCATGGGAAAAGGGGCACCATTGGAAGATTTCTCCTCTATTCCTGTTCTATTGGCAATAAGAATTTGGGATTTATCCTCACTTTCATTCCCAGTGACACTGGTGATCAGGACAATTAGAGAGAGAGGTAGAGGTAGAGAGAGCGAGAGCACGAGAGAAAAAGAGAGAAAGAGAGAGAGAGAGAGAGAGAGAGAGAATATTCTTATATTCCTATTCTGGATTGGTTACTAAAGCAATGTAA